GCCCCCTCCTGCGGGGGGATTACCCCCCACCATGCAAGCTTGCCAGCCCCCCCCCCGCTCTAACCCGTAGCCCCCACTCCCCCCAGAGCAGGGAGAGAAGCCCAGGGAGCAGCCCCCCACCACCTCTCCCCTCCCCCTGCCGCAGGGACCCAGGCATCCAGGCTCCTTGCCACACAGGGGTTGCCCCCGGGCAAGGATTAACCCTGGGCTGGGCATGCACACCTGTCTGGGCCGGCCCAAGGCAGGTGTGGGGGAATTGTGGGGAGCTACTCCCTCGCAGGCAGGTGGGAGCTGGGACACCTGGGTGCCCCCACCCTGGCTCAGCCCCCGCTCAGGGCCGACAGAAGGGGCCAGGCTCCAAATTCTGGGTTTCCAGTACCACGATGCAGCTGGCTCTGGGGCACCGCCAAATAGAACAGGGGCCCAGACACACGCAGGCCCAGCCCTGACATTGCCTTTATTATCTATGACACCCATGGGAAAGGGACGGGGGCATGGAGGGCTGGTAGAGGGGCACAGAGGAGCCCCTGCTTGAGCTGGGGGGCTGGAGTGGGGAGAGGTGCTCAGTCGTGGTACATCTGGAGCAGACAGGCCGTGACTGTGTTCATGTACCGGTCCCACAGGGCCTGGTGGCTGTGGGGAGAGAACAGGCAGTGAGCAGCAGCTCTGGGGGGTGCGAGGGGCTGGGTGTAACATGAGGCTGGCTCTTGGGAGGCGGGCCAGGGGCTTCGTACAACAGGCTCTCACTAGTTGTGGGGTAGGAACAGAGCCTGGGTCTACTGGATGCAGCTGGCTCTGGGGGGCAGGGGCTGGGTACAACAGGCTCTCACTATTTGTGGGGTGGGCACAAAGGCTAAGTCTACCAGATGCAGCTGGCTCTGGGTAGGCACTGGCTAGGTACAACATGAAGCTGGCTCTGGGGGGCAGGGGCTAGGTACAACAGGCTCTCACTATTTGTGGGGTGGGCACAGAGTCTGGGCCTACCAGATGCAGCTGGCTCTGGGTGGACACTGGCTGGGTACAACATGAAGCTGGCTCTAGGGGGCAAGGGCTGGGTACAACATGCAGCTAGCTCTGGGGGGCGCTGGCTGGGTATAACTCAGCCAGCTCTGGGGGCTACAACAGGCTGCAGCCAGCTCTGTACAGGGAGGTCCCTGGCATGGTTTGGGACAGGAAGTGCCTACCGGAAGGCATCCAGGGCGTGGGCGGAGCCTGTGTACTGGGTCAGGAAGAGCCGCATGTCACTCGGAGGCCACCTGTCAGCCTTGCAGGGCTCAATAAACTGGGGGGGAAGGGGGGGGCAGGTCAGGGGGGCTGCACCTCTCCACCCCCTCTCCTGCCCCTTGGGGGTGGGAGCACCTAGTGCCCCCCCAAGAAGGGGGGGGCAGAGAAGGGCACTGGGCTGTCTGGGAAGGGAAGGGGCAGTGGCGGGTTTATCCCAGGACAGGGGGCCCCCTATAGAGGCCCAACAGGGCTGAGGGGGCCTGGAAGGGAGATGGGGTGGGGCTGGGAAGGGCCTGTGGGCAAGGTCCCTGCTCTCACCCCAAGCCCTGGACTCCCCCCAAGGAACCCAGGGAGAGGGTGGGGGGCCCATAGGGTGCTGAGGTCCAGCATGGGGTCCATGAAGCTAGGGGGGCCACGTGGCATGTGACAAGCTGTGGGGGGAGTATTGGCAGTGCCTGTCGGGGGGAGCCCTGGGGGGCACCGAGGCCGGGGGGGGCA